TAAAAATAATTTAAAATATTTGAGATTTTATAAAAACCCTTTAAATAAGTAGTTTGAGCTCAAACTTAATAATTTATAAAGATATGAGAAGTATGAAAAAGTTTGGGAAGCAAAATATTTGAAAACAGAGCCAAAAATGTCATTTTTGTGCATTCTGGCACATGTGTCTTGGCTTATGATCTATGCGCCATGGCACGTGGTACAAAGAGGCTAATTCATTCTTGATTCCTTCATCTACATTTTGTGTGACTGCATATGTCAAGGGTTAAGTACTCCAAACTTAACACTTTCTTTCCTCTTTCTTTGCAAGATTGGATACTTTGAAGTATAAAGAATAATGTTGGAGGTCTAAATACTAGAAAAACCTATAGAAGAAACCTTTTGCTCACATATGTTGAAAAATTTTAGAAAGAATGATGCAAACCTATTTATTCAGAAGAACACATCCATGTCAGATGTCATGATAGGGACACATGCATCATGGCTTGTTGTACACAAGAATGATTTGTATCACTACATTAACAAATTTGATATGGAGGTGATCTCATGTTTCTTTTCAAGGAAAGAACTTTGATTTTTTCATAAGTGGGCCATTTCCATATTGTAGTCCAAATTTCAGAATTGATATTTCCACCATGATTTTCAATAACTTTGTAGGCTGATTTAATGGAGAAGTTACCATCAAAAGAAGGTCTCCAAACAAGAACATTATTATCTCCACGAGGGAGGTTGAACAAGTAAAATGAAGCTAACCACATCATAATGAAAATAATGATTTATTTTTCTGTATTCCATCCACTTAAAGCTAAGCAAAAATTTGAGACTCTAGCGTAAAGGATGGAATTAGCTTTAGAGGAGGTGTAAGTAACAACATGCTCAAGCAAAGGTGACCACCCATTGTACTAAAGTGTATTTGATCTCCCTTGCTCACTTTCCAACTAACATGAATTTTAAAGGTATCCCAAACTTTACAAATACTAGTATATGTGTAAGAGGAGAGACTTGTTTTGCAAACCAATGGGATAGTAGGTTTATTACATTTATATTTATCATAAAGGATTTGAATCCAAAGATAATTGGGCTTAGTAATAATAGCCCAACTAAGTTTCATAATGAAAGTAATATTTTGCTTTTTGATTTTTTTTTTTGAAACCAAGGCCTCAACATTTCTTCTCCTTAGTAACACAATCTCAAAAAAGAAAGTTTGGTTTTCTAGATCCATTAGAAGAGTCTCAAAAGAAGTCACTAGAAATTCTCTAATTTAGTGAGGACATTGTTTGAGATGAGCATAGTCTGCGTGGTATAGCTAGGAAGGGTTGAAAGAATAGACTTTATGAGGATAAATTTTTCAACATGTTAAGATAATGGCTCTTTCAAGAAGATAAATGAGATTTTTTTTTTTCAATAAGGGGAGCAAAAAATAACTTAGATGCTCTTTCAAGCAAAATGAGAATCCCAAGATATTTGCCAAAATTTTCAGTGAGAGAAATTCCTAAATCATCACTGATGTGCAAAGCTCTATTTATGTTGACATTTTTGGAGCAATAAAACTTTGATTTAGCATTGTTGCTTTTTTGTCTTGAAGCATTGCAAAAGTCAAACAAACACTTTTGAATGATCCCAACTTGGATGAGAGATGCATATGCAAAAAGTAATAAATCATCAGCAAAGAATAGATAAAAAATATGAGGCCCATTAGTTGTTAGACTAATAAGTTTTTAGTCTTTCATATTAATACTACTAAAATGCATTGACTTAAATGTTCAATGCAAAGGATAAAAAAATAAGAAAAGAAAGGATCCCCTTGTCTAATGTTTCAAGTAGGATTGAATTCCTGCAACGATTCTCCATTCCAAAAAGCTTTTATTTGTGCAATAGAGACGACTACCATGATGATCTTCTTGAAATGGATATTTATACCAATAGCTTGTAGAGTGTCCTCGATAAATTTTTAGAAAAGTTTATCAAAAACCTTTTCAAGATTCACTTTGAGAGTTATGAAACCTTTTATTTCCTATTTTAATTCTTATGAAGTGTATAACTTCTTAAACAATGATGATATTGCCACTGCTCTGCCTACCTTGTATGAAATTACATTTGTTGTCCCCAATTATATGATTCATACACATTCTAAGATTATTTAAAAGAATCTTAATGATAATTTTATAGCTCACATTATAGAGAGATATATATAAAATTATTTTTTAAAATATATGTTATTAATCTATTTTATTTTCTTACTACATGATTCTCAATTTTTAGGTGTAAGTTATTTTAAAGTTTTAAAATTAAAAAAATGGAATGTTCTATTTCTAATCAATTCAAGACATTCCAATCAAATGAGGTTGGCTGTATGTTTTTTCCCCTTAATTTCTAAAATTTTTTATTAGTTAAATATATGTATGTATGTAAAAACTAATCTCTTGCAGGATGTAGAGGCAAAAGAAATACCCGTAATGTCAATAAATATTAATTTAATTTTGTAAGGATTTAATTTATAATTTATAAAGCTAAGAGTTTTGATCATGATATGAGAACATTATTTATAAACAATTTGTGAATAATTTTACAAGTGTTTTTTGACTTTGGAAACATGCTCAACCTTGATGAGCTCCTAATCCAATTTAACCAAATACTTTATAATAAAACATGGCTTGAGCTGCCAAAAAAAAATTACCCAAAAGAAAAGATATGCAATAAAGTTTTCCCCCCTTCTTCTTTTGCCGGCCGAAGTAAGAGTTTTGGTCCATCCATTATGAATGCATGTAGAGGTCAATAGTTAGGCTTCCCCAAGTACTAATCATAAAAGGCAAGTGCTTTAGATTTGGGAATCATTTTTTTTTTATTCCCACTTGCATATGAATTGAGGCCCCTTCCCTAATTCTTTTTGTACTTTTACAAACTGTACTTGATCTAACGCTTTCACATTGGGAAATTAAGTACAATTTCTTTTTCTTTTCCTTTTAACTCCTTTACTCTCTTTTTTTGGCTAAAAACTTCTTTAGTCATAATATTACTTGATAGAAGCTCACTGAAAAATATAAAATATACAGCAAAGTGCTATATTCATAAATTGTGAAATGTGTTGCTTATTCTCCAAAATTTATACAATGTATGAAAGACGTAATTTACTGTATAGTAAAAAATAATTAAAAAAATCAAAATTTTCACCGTAAAAAGTTCCCATGAGTAAAATTTCTAAAATTCATTGCTTCAAAACAGGCCTTGTGGAAATATATTACTCCCTCTGTTCAAAAATGTAAAGTATTTTTTAAAAAATTGAATGTTAAAAAGTATAAGATATTTTTAATTTTTTGAAGTGTAACTATTACCTTTCTTTTTTAAGTACTCTAATTGATGAATGACTTTATGTTTATTGTAGAGTGTGTAATAGAGATAAATATAAAAAGATAAAATTAGTTTAAAAATAAATAACTACTTTATTAAAAAATAAAATTTAATTAAAAATATTTTATATGTTTTAATTGAAGAAGTATTTTTGAAAGATAACATATTATTTATTTAAACTTAGAGATGAAGTAAAATGATGCCTTGCCCGGGCTCATCATGGCCCCCTTTTGTGGGCTAATGTAAAGGCCCAGATGTGGTCGAAATGAAAAGCAATATTATCGCGGCCATCTATGATTAATATTAAATATTTTATGAAAATATATTATAATCAATACAATGTGAATGATGCTCCTATTTTTTTATATTATAAAACAAAATTCAACCAGCATTAGTTAGGTATTACAAGATCTACAAACCTAGGGGAACAAGAACTAGAGTAAAAATATAACGATGCTTCTATTTAATTTAATGAATTTACTCCCTAAAGTGCATCTCTCACTTCTGTTTTTTATTCTCTAAATTGTTTTGGCTTTTGCTTTAACTTCTAATATAGTATACAATGCTGAGTAAGTCTGAACTTTAGAAAGTTTATATATTTTCTCTATGGAAGGAAATCCTCGAAAATTGATATCCACATATTTACGTGAGCAAATTCCCATCTTATTATTTTTTATAAAATATAAACTGTTCTATCTCCTTTTTAAAGAGTAAAATTTACGAAATTTACGGATTTTCAACCATAGAGATCCACTCCCTTCTGTGAAAATATTTTATGAACTAACCTTATAACAAAACTCCAAAGATTCTCACGCAAAATGTCAAAACACTGCAGAGAGAAACAGAGAGAGCACCCACGGACCTCTTTTTCTGTACACCAATCTGTGAACTGCACTATCTTCAATTGTTTAGTCCACGCACACTTGTTTTCTAATACAAGAGATCTTTTCAACTCTTTCACACATGTATTTCACTGTCTTATCCTTAACGGACAGAACAATTCTGCAGAAGGGGAAAAAAGAACAGAACAACCTTCATGTACATGAAGGTTTTCATGTCATCGTCAATCAACCTGGATTGTGGATTTTTGCTGTAAACTATGTACATACCTCCCGGCCATTTCTGAATTATTAGAGATGATACAAGGGCTACAACTTCGCTAGACTAAGGGTGTGGCAAGTTGAGGTCTTTGATAATTGTGCGGAAGCTATAAACATGATCACAAGCCACAAGGGATCACTAGATAATTGGTCTTTCATAGTTGCCATGTTACTATGAATTTTTCATAAAAGAGAAGCAAATCAATGTGCTAATGTGCTAACTTGCTAGTTAAGTTTACTCATGTAACCAATTCTTATTTTTGTATTTTTAATCGTCATGGTGGATGATGAAAAGCAACAGCGAATGCATTACTCTACATCTGCAGGGCATAAATTATATAAAATGTTAAAAAAAAAGAATAATAATGTAATGTATATAGGATTTTTTTTTTTAACTCAAATATGTTTCATGTTTCATTTGATTTAGTGGATTCAAAATTATTAGAGCAACGAGGGCAAATTTGTAAAAATCATACCAACGACTTGTTTCCGAGTTGAGGGGTACACTAGCCTACCCTCAACATTGTGCGTCTGCCACTGATGAAAAGGGAATAAATAACACTCAGTTGAATTCATTTAGTGCATACACCATCATGCCGCTTACATTCATGCATCATGATTAACTTGCATCATTAATACATACACCATCATCACCACCACTATAGCCAGTACAAGGAACAAACCTACAAGTAGACAGGAAGAAATTAGAAACAAACACCTTATCCTGCGAATGAACAACCTGACACCAACATTCGCGCATCATCGTTCACTTGCATTATTAATACATACACCGTTATCACTATGGCTAGTACAAGGAGCAAAGCCAGAGGAAGATCAAATGAAACTAAAAGAAACAGACACTTTATTCTGCATAATTTCTTATGCTTTTCTTCCTCACACACACAGAAGAAGAAAGTAGACTACTAGACTTGGAGGCATATATTAAAAGGTACATCAAGGCTCCTCATGGTGCTTGTTGGCAACATTGCATTGCCTTCTGATCTCACCCTTCGAACCAGTGAGAGGGTTGTTTTCAGATAAGAGAGTGACGGCTCTGGCAAAGTGCTTGAAGAAATAGTCCTGGCTTTTGGCCATCTTCTTCACAAAAGGTCTGGTCCTCTTGTCATAGGCTAGCTGGTGATCCACTATCAACAAACCCTTGTTGTCCAGTATGTTCCTGTAATAGTTGTTGTCCAGAATCATGGGTGTCCCTCGGTCGTTCCTCACATACTGTACTGCCTTCGGGTCAGGAATGGCGTCCGGGCACTTCTTGAGCATGTGAGGGATATGGTCTGGGTTCAGTTCTGGGTCTACCTCTGGGTACAAACGGTGCACCAGCTTCACACAGTGGGTTCTCCCTACACTGTGTGCTCCTGTTCAACACAATCATCACTATCACAAACCTTATTTCTTATGTAAATGTGTATGTACGTGACTTCAATTCTGATAATTTAGATCATAAATATCTGTAAAAGTGACAAAAAGAAGTAAAAGTGTTAGATCTAAATTTACTTCACCCCAGATCCTCAACTCTGACGAAGTCATGTGAAGTTCTGGGTCACCATTTATTAAGAGAAGTTAATGTATACACATCTTAATGTTTGCTTTTTTCTATGATTCTAGAATATATATCTCAAATGCAGGACAGTTTTTAATGTACATATATGCCTTAAAGATTATATCAGAACTTATTGTGAATGTTAAAATAGTTTCTGATATGAGATCACAATGAATGAATGAACTTATGCTTTATGTTGGTCTGTACGTAGAAATCTTCAAAATCAAACCAAACTAAAACAGGTAAAAAACAATTTTTTCACTTGCAACAACATCGATTTAGCTTAGATTACTTGGGTGATAACAAGTCAAGGTTTTTGATTTACCCAGAAGTGCAACAACACCAGGGGTGTCAATTCCCATGGCAGAGAATCTCTCAAGAACAACAGGGATGCTTTCATTGTGGTCTGGGAGGTACTGTTCAACCACATCAGCTCTGCTTCTTCTTCCATCTCTTCTTCCCGTTTTAAGTGGAATATAAGGTCCTCCTAGCTGCAACAAACTCATTTCAGAAACATTTACATGTGTAGAACAAGTAATTAAGTAATGAGTGCTACTACTACACTAGGATCCGAACAAATCTGGACTTAATGTCTCTTATAACTGTTCTGCTATGCAAGAACACAGCAAAAATATCAGATTTTGCAGAGGTAAATCTGGGTTTAAACTCATTTCTTGTTATGAGTGGACTGAGAATTGAGAAATTACCGCAACAATGCCGTCTCTAGCAGAGAGAACAAGAATGTCAGCACAGGAAACAACTCCAGGACACTCTCTCTCCACAGCTTCTTTGACGGTCTCAATGTACCTGAAGTTCCTCAAACCAAAGCTTCGGTCTGTTTCCTTCTCAGACAAGGTCCTTCTTGTGGAATCAAGAAGCAGTGAAGCATCACAGCTCTACTCCACAAAAATACCCAGAAACCACATTACTAAAAGATTTTTTTTTAAATAAAAGACAAGAATCATTCTGGGGTCAAGAGTGAAAACCCTAAATGTCATTGGAGAAGAAGGAGGGATGAGAGATGAACCTGAACAGCACAGTCATGGAAGATGTTTCTGAGCCATGAGAAAGCAGTGTTCTTATGGCGCTTGTAGAGAAGTTTGACCTGTTCTCTGATAATGTCTTCGGCTTGAGGGCAAGTTTCCTTGTAGAAGTTCATAACAAGGCCAGGATCTTGTTCATGTTCCTCAGTCTCAGCAAGAACGGGACTGAGTGACACTGATGAAAAGCAAAGCAGAACCAAAAAGAAGATAGCTTTTGGGGCCATTCTATCCAACAGTATCAGCGACCTCCTTGCTTTGCGCTTCGGAGAGGACAACTCTTAAATAACAAACCAACAAGCTGGCTGTGGCAATTAATTGTCACTGAAACGTGTACCGTTTAGGGACGTTTGGGATTTTTTTTTATTCCCAAGTTGGTGACTTTGACACTTCCGATTTATGATTTTCCGTATTAACATTCATGGTAAGCCCGAAAGATGCAGGTATATTTTTTGGGAAAATTTCACGAGATGGCCCTTGACCAAACTTTTCTATGGTTAACACCTCTAAAATTCTGATTCATCAGTCCAATACTATGGGTCTTATTTGGATAAAATTGAAATTAAATTTGTGAGAAAAATCATATAAATCACCTTAATTCCATCGAATAAAAACAATTGTTATAGAAAAAATAAACAAATAATGTGTAAAAACAAAGAATTCATATAGAAAAAATTTACAACGATCGCTAACAATATAATATCATTTTGAATAAAAATAAATAAAGTTAGGCATATAAATAATTTGTGCAGGAAAAATAAATAATTAATATATAAAAAATAAATAATTAATGTGAGTAAAATTTGTAACTCTCACTAACAATAAAACATCACTGTGAATATAAACATGTGAAATTAGACATATGAACAACTTATATAAAAAAAAAGGATAAATATCATATGAAAAATAAACAACTTACATGGGAGCTTGGGGTTCTTTGTATTATTGTCATCAAAAATCTAATTTCAAATTTTGCCCAAATGGGACTCATAGGGGATTAAATTGATGTTTCATAATTTTAAGGGGGTTGACTGTAAATAAATTTGCTCAAGGGAGTTGCGGTGAAATTCCCCCTTTTTTTCTAGTTGGGTGAAAAATATTTTCCAGTTTATATTTATTTTTTTAAAATGTTCCTATCGATAGCTTTATTTTTTTTTTATACATAAAATCAGGGTCTTTGTTTATTTAGTCCAGAAATGACATTAACTGGACAGCCTTTATCCAAATTTTGAGCTTAAAGTGGAAAACCGTTTCTTTTTCTTTTCTTTTCTTTTCTTTTCAGTGAAAAATTCCGAAACCGTTTCTGATGACTGAATATATATCGCCAAATTCAAATTTTAAAAGTTTATAATTTATTTATTTTTTTCAAACTTGGTATACATTAAGGCAAGAAAATTCACGGAGAGAAAAATTATTTCGTTTATTTAAAATATAAAAATAAAATGGCATAGTTTATGTAATTTTTATAATTTATAATTTTCACTCTTCTAATCTATTACTAATTTACTATGTATAAGATAAAAATGCGAGATTAGCTTAAATTTTTTAATTAAAATCCTCTTACTATTTCCCACGTATTAATTTTTATTTTAACCTGCAACTACCCCGTTTAATTTTATCTAAAATCCTCACTTTCAAGTGGGGTAATCCTTTTTGGTTTATTTAAAATAAATTATCTTTCAGGGCAGACGAGGACTAATATTATTACTTGACTCATTGAGGAGCAATAACGACGTTTAATTTGAATAATAGCACAAAATAGAACAAAGAGTTGGATAACAAGTAATCACTAACGTGGAAGCTAACCCCTCCAAAATAGTTGAAGAACTTGTTTTTATTTCGAAATTAATAAAATATCCAAATTTTGATTCATGTCAGTGTGTTTCTACACTGGTGATTAAGGAGCGATCTACGCAACACTCTTTTGCAAGTTCAAATTCAAAATGCATGGAATCTAACAATTATAGTTAAAAAATCCCAATGATACATAATTGTGTTTAAGATAATTCCAGTTAATGGGATATATTAAAATTATTATTGGTGAAGCTGGCGGCCCATCTAATAGTTAGAGTCAATAGTTTTGGTTAAGCTCATAGTTGTTAATTTAAATAAATCTGAAAAAGGTTAAAATTAGATTTGATAAAAATTATACTTTTTCTTTTAATCAGTTTTTTCAAGCTAGTTCACATAAGTATAAAAAACTTCAGCAAAATTTGTTTGGATTTGAACTACCCGAATGGCTGCACATTTTTTTTTTTTTTTTTAAACGGTGGGGAGACGCAAGTGGAGGGGGAATTGCGAGAGGAAGAAGAAAAAGAAAAAAAAAAAATTAAAGAAAGAAGCGGGGCACGAGAAAAGGAGTAAGTTAATTGACAAGATAAAACCTTATCTTTATTTTTTTTTAAAAATGATAATTTTTTTTAAATTATATAAATGACAATCTAATCCCTTAAAATATTATAATTATATATTAATAAATTTTAAAATAAAAAAATTATTTTACTTGTATTGAAAATAACAAGTCCCAGTCACAATTTTTATTTAAAAAATCATAATTTTTGTTATATAAATCTTAAAAGTTAAATAACAAATCACAACTTACCAAATATAATTTTTGTTATTGAAAAATAAGTCTCAATCATAATTTTTGTTTAAGAGGTAACAACTTTTATTATGTGAATCACAAAAGTTGAATATAAAATTACAATTTGTCAAGCGTGATTTTAATTATTAAAAATAAGTTTTTAAAATAACAAACCTTATTCATAACTTTTATTTAAGAAATAATAAATTTTATTTAAAGAATCCAAAAAATACAACTTGTCAGTAAAATGATCTTTTTAATTTAAAATTTATTAACATAGGGGTCCTTAGAAACTTCAATAAAATTATGACATTTCGAGAGATCAGATTATCATTTATACAATTCAAGAAATTTTATTGTCATTTTTTTTAAATACAAATAGTTTTAGAAAATATATTAATTACTAAAATTGAAACAACTTAAAAATATTTAAGATATAAATTAATTAAAAGTGTATTACTTAATAATTTTATATAAAATGAGCAAACTTGGACTTGACTTTCCATGGATAAAAATTGTGGTAGTCATTTTTTTTATTACATATAAATATTCTCATTTTGAAAACAATCATATTTGAGATACGGTCAACGCTAACTAAACGTGAGTACTTCTTTCAATAAAAATTTAAATATTAGTTCATCATGTTATACGAGACTAATCTTTTTTCACTAGATCTAACCTTATTAATTAAGGTCTTGATGATCCATATTGTGAGGTGGTATTTTAAGAACAAATATAAAGACCTTAAGAATTTGGACTTTTGGATCGTTTTCAGCTGAATTATTAATACTAATGCATTTCTTTATTTTTATTTATAAATAAAATTACAAATTTTAAAAATCATTTATCACATTTTTTAATTATTATTTATAAAATTAATGTTTATTTTCACTAAACAAATTTGTTTCATTAATCACAAGAATAGTTTAGTTTAAATTTTTAATTTCAAACATAATTATTATACTGAACCTATTTTCTTGGTAAATTGTATGAAGTGATTATTTTCTATTATATTTAAAAACAAAGTAATACTCATTGTTTTCAAATATAAGAAAAATTATCATGTCTCCCTTTATTTTTTATAAGCAAAATTATAAATTTTAAGAATCATTTATCACATTTTTTAATTATTATTTATAAAATTAATGTTTATTTTCACTAAACAAATTTGTTTCATTAATCACAAGAATAGTTTAGTTTAAATTTTTAATTTCAAACATAATTATTATACTTAACCTATTTTCTTGGTAAATTGTATGAAGTGATTATTTTCTATTATATTTAAAAACAAAGTAATACTCATTGTTTTCAAATATAAGAAAAATTATCATGTCTCCCTTTATTTTTTTATAAGCAAAATTATAAATTTTAAGAAACATTTATTACATTTTTTAAATTATTTTTTATAAATTTAATATTTACTTTCACTTTTCAAGTTTGTTTCATTAATTACAAAAATATTTTAGTTCAAATTTTTTAATTTTAAGTATATTATTGTACTTAATTAATTTTGTTAAACTACATAAATTGATTAATTTTTTAATATTTAAAAAAAAGAAAGGATATATTCTCTCTGTTCAAAAAATGTAAAATATTTTTTAAAAAGTTAAATGTTAAAAAATATAAGACATTTTTAGTCTTTTGATATATAATCATTATCCTTTTTTTAAAAGTATCTTTGTCAGTAATAATTTTTTATTTATTATAAAATATTTAATAAAAATAAATATAAAAAATAAAATTAATTTAAAAGGATATAATTATTTTATTAAAAATAAAATTTAATTAAAAATATTTTATATTTTTAAACCAAGAAAATATTAACTTATTTGAGACAACTTGAACGCTTTACTTTGAAATTTGTACTTTGAACATTAATGGGCCACGAAAGCCTTCTGCTTCGTTGCGCCATTATTGCCGCTTGGTTTTTGTAAACTACAGGCCACTTGCCACCGGCGCTGCACGATGTCCCTGGATTTTTTTAAATTTTAATATAAACAATCTAGATTAATTGTATTTATTTTATATTTATTAAAATAAATATTTATAATTTTTAATAAATATATTTATTACCAATCAGTACATATTTAGTTTAAACAATCCAATTTAATATTTAAATTTTTATAATTTTTATATATTGACTATCAAAATATACTTTAAATAATTTAAATTTAATATTATTTTTTTATAATTTTTATAAATTTTTGTTTTGGTAAATATATAATTAAAAATTAAAATAATTTACTAACTGACACTATTCAAGAAATATTTTCTTAAAAAAAGTACAAGTTAAAATTTAATTTGAATTTTAAACTACAAGTATAGAAACGATTTATATTTTAAACTTATATTTAATACATTTTATGCTCTAAGCAACTAGATTTCAAACAATTCCACCCCACTATTAACTTAAATTTAACACCATTAGCCCCACTCCACCCCTCTCCATGTTAAGTTAATGAGAGGCATTTTAATTAAAAATTTGAAGCTAGTTCCCCCACTGTCCCTATCCCACTGCTTTTATTTTCTCTTTGCTAATAAAATCTTACAGCTGAAAAAAAAACTGATCAAAGTTTGATTGTTTTTAATTTAATTATATTTTATTTTTTAATTAAAATACCCCTTATTAACTTAACATCAAAAAATATACACTTCAGTTAAATACTTCATGATCTTAATTATATA